GAGTGGGTGGCCTTTTCCTCCTCCAGGGGATCTTCAAAACCCAGGGACTGAACCCAGGTCTCCCGTATCATAGGCGGATTCTTTACCAGCTGAGCCACAAAGGAAGGCCAAGAATATTGGAGTGGGTACCCTATCCCTTCTCCAGCGGATCTTCCCCACCCAGGAATCAAATCAGGGTGTCCCACATTATATGCAGCATATTTGAGATTTCTGAATATGCTAATCTCAGGAATGGAAAGAGAAGAATCATAAGTCATTCTTGCAGAGGTTTTTGGGTCTGTAGGTTTTTTTTTTTTTAATGAAAATTCTAGGAAACGAGGTTTTCAGGGTGGCATAGACAAATTTAGAAGAAAATTAGTATCATCTTTTGGGAAAATTCCATCCACTAAAATCTTATTTTACGTAATGAAATTATGCATTATTAGTTAAATGACACCGGAAGGCCAATTAACTGTGAATATTATTTCTGTCTTAGTTCTTACTAATTGGACAAGGAAGAAACCTGAAACTTTTTTGTAGAACTCTTGTGTAGGACTTTTTTTTCTTGCTGTGCTCTCTCTTGTTTTATTATTACATAGACTATTTATAATTATTAAATAAATTTAGAAAATATAGATGAGAAAAAGTCACCCTTTAGGGCATCACTTTGTAATAGTATCTGCTAAATGTTTCCATGGACATATATAAAGTCTGTTTCTGTATAATGTTGACTGTGACCCTGACAGGGCTAAGCAATGCCTAACTGTGTAATGGAATGAGTTACGTACTGCCCTGACAGGCAGGCTTGTCAGCAGTACAATAGGGACAACCATCACCTGACCTGCATCTCCTGACTGTGAAGATCCCTTACACAGTGTGTTTCTCCAAGGACAGCCTCAGTGGCTAGGAGTTCTACCAACAGGCAGTGATTTGTACTTCCAGCCCTGAAGGGACCGTGGAACACAGTAGTTATAGGAACTCCAAAAGGGCAATGGCATGAAGAGCCTCTGTCCAGGAGCTATGGCCTGCGGCAACAAAGCTGGATGGGAGTTGTGAGAATAACCCGGTCTTCCTCTCTTTTACCCTTTATCTCCAACAAGCTCCAACAAGGAGTCCTATTGATCCAGTTCTTGTGGGTCAGTTTCCTTGAACTGAGCAGGGTGAAGAACAGTTGAGAGTTGGCATGGAGAAACAGATGGAAAACAAACAACAAAACATGTTTATCAGATTTAACCTTTATAATCCCTCTTTTAATCTTGCCTCTTGGGAATCTGTAGATTTCTTAGGCCTTGTTTTCATAAATCCTCTCCGCCACTTAATATTTACCAAAACTGCCTTAGTTGAGAGTCTTTCTATTTGCTTCTTGGGCAAAACCAGGGTGAACCTTGAGAATAATAGTAATTCCCCTGTTATGTACTGAATGTGTGCCTCCAAACTCAGGTGGAACCCCTGATCCCCAGTGGGACCATATTTGGAGACAGGACTTTTAAGGAGGTAACTGAGGTTAAATGAGGTAATGAGGGTGGGCCCTAATCCAATAGAGCCAGTGTCCTTAGAAGAAGGGGAAGGGACATCAGGAGTGAACTTGCTTATGTATGTGTGCATGGGTGCACAAGCAAAAGGCCACGTGAGGACACAGTGGGAAGGTGTTCTCCACAAACCAGGGAGAGAGGCCTGAGCAGAAACCAAACCGGCTGACACCTTGATCTTGGATTTCCAGTCTTTATTTCAGAGCTGTGAAATAAATTTCTGTTAAGCACCTAGTTTGTAGCATTTTGATATGGCAGCCCTAACATACTACTGTTTTTAAAATCTTTTACTGAGCACCTTATATTCTAGTTCTTTATGTACATCATCTACTATTAAACTTTCTCAATCCTAGAAAGTAGGTATTCTTCAGTTCTCACAGACAAGAAAGCTGGAGTTCACAGAGGTTAGCCACTTGTCTATGGCCACAAAATAATAAGTACTCGGGGTTTATTACAGAAACTTTTGTCTCTTTGGGTCTAAAGCCATCACACTGTTCTGGTAGCAAATGAGAAAGGAATATCGTTACTAAGGCTCTGCTCTGCATGTGTTCAGTTAGGGAAAATTATTTTCTATTTCTGCAGCACCCTTAGGCTTCTCTTTTCACATTTCTTGGATTTCAGTTATATGCCAAACTAATGACTCTCAACTCTGTAGCTTTAGCTTACTCCTTCCTCTAGTTTCAGACTCATTCTTCCTACTATCTCATGGATACCTCACCAGGATATCCTATTGGCATCTTAACTCAGTAAAAAAGAACCGAAAGGGACCTCCCTGGTGGTCCAGTGGTTAAGAATTCACCTTGCAATGCAGGGGGATGTGGGTTTGATCCCTGGTTGGGGAGCTACGATCCCACATGCCAGAGCAACTAAAGCCTTCGAGCCACAACTAGAGCGTCCAAGTGCTGCAATAAAAGATCTCACAGGATGTGATGAAAATCCCATAGTGCTGTAACTAAGAACTGAAGCAACTAAATACATAATTTTTTTAAAAAAGAGCCAGAAGGTTGAAACACTTGCAATATCCTAGACTCCTTCGTCATCTTATCAAATTGGTTCAGTTGGTCACTCAAATCTGTTTTTATCTAATTGTTTCTCAAATACATCATTCGACTGCAGCTGCCCCTGTAACTCAGTTCCTGGATTACCTGCAGTAACCTCCTAAACTGGTTTCACTGCCTTTCATCCTCCTTCCTTTTACCTCTGGGCTTTTTCTAAAGACACTTGTGACCACAAAATTGTCCTGCAGTGACTACTCCATTACCTTCATGTCAAAATACAAACTACTTAGCTAGTCATCATCTGACCTTCACCTTACTCTTCAATTTAATCACCCCAGCTACAACCAACAGTAAACCACTTGATTTGTCACCTAGCCTAACAGTTAAAAGAACATACTAGTGTTAGGAGCTTCTTTGGTGGCTTGGCAGTCAAGAATCCACCTACAATGCAGGAGCCACAGGAGACGTGGGTTCAATCACTGGGTTGAGAAGATCCCCTGGAGGAGGGCATGGCAACCCACTCCAGTATTCTTGCCCAGAGAATCCTCATGGACAGAGGAGCCTGGCAGGCTACAGTGCACAGGGTCGCAAAGAGTCACACAGGACTGAATCGACAGCGTGCACACAAGTTCTGGTGTTTGACTGCCTTAAGTTGAATGCTGTCTTGACTTCACATAAGCTGTGTGAACTTTGGAAAATTAAGGTGGTTGTGTGGATTAAATGAGCTAACACACTCAAAGAGCTTGTATGTTGTCTGGCACATAATTTGTTAACTCTTAGCTATTATTATTAGCAGCAGCATTATCAACCATGCATTTGCATTGAAACTTTCTCAGGGTGGACTACCCTGGTATCTGGCTATGCCCTTCTCTATCAAGATTCGGTTCAGGGGGCCACATCTAGTAGCAAACTTACCTTGCCCCTTTCCACTGTTTCCTTTGCAAGCTTGTTACTGTAACTGCGTCTATCACCAGGTTCTGAGCTCCTAAAGTAGAGTGGTATGCTGGAGAAGACTGGAGAGAACCCTGGACTGCAAGGAGATCAAACCAGTTAATCCAGATGTTACTTGCTCAGTCGAGTCTGACTCTTTATGACCCCATGGACTGTAGCCTGCCAGACTCCTCTGTCCATGGGATTCTCCAGGCAAGAATACTGGAGTGGGTTCACATTTCCTTCTCCAGGGGATCGTCCCAAACCAGGGATCGAACCCGGGTCTCCCACATTGCAGGTAGATTCTTTACCATATGAGCCACCCAGGGAAGCCCATCCTAAAGGACTGAGTGAGTGAAAGTCGCTCAGTCGTGTCTGACTCTTTGCGACCCCATGGACTGTAGCCCACCAGGCTCTCCTCTGTCCAGGAAGTCAACCCTAAATATTCACTGGAAGGGTTGATGCTGAGGCTGAAGTTCCAAAACTCTGGTCACCTGATGCCAAGAGCTTACTCAGTGGTAAAGACCCTAATGCTGGGCAAGACAGGGCAAAAGAAGCAGGTGGCAGAGGACGACATGGTTAGACAGCTCACTGACTCGGTGGACATGAATTTGCACAAACTCCGAGACAGCAGAGGACAAGCCTTGTAGGCTACACAGTCCATGGGGTCGCAAAGAAATCAGAAAAGGACTTAGCAACCGAGCACCACCTGAGGCACAAGTTCCATGTTCTAAGGCACAAGTGAAAGGTGCATCATATCTTCTGGATGAGGTGTACCCAGAGAAAGCCCGAGTGTACCGAAAATTGTTAACACATGTTCCTAAAGTCCATGCTGGAGACGGTGAATGACAGTGAGGCCTAGCGCGCTGCAGTCCACGGGGTCGCCACAATGTCTTTTATCTAATGCGGCAGTTTGTCCCCAGTGTGAGACAGAACTACACTCTTAGTATTTCCGGAGGGAACTTAAGACCTAAGGCAGCAGCCAAGAACCCCGGGGAGGGGGGAAGGATTATTTTCTCATTTTCTCACCCCTCGGTAAAAACCCGAAGAAACTCTTCAGTTGGAAAAAAAAAAAAAAAACCCAGGTCTCGGCATCGCGAAGAAAGACGTGAATTGGAGGCGCAATGTGCGCCTGCGCAAGCGACCACTCGCCGTCCGCGCCTGCGCCGCTCCCCCCAATGAGGGAGTCCTTAGTCTAGGGCGGGGCCACAAGTCGCGCCTTAGGATTGGGCAGCGGGAGCCCAAACGGAAGGAGCGGAAATAACGCCAGCGTGCGCAAGCGCAGGCGGCCGTGCCGCGCGGTGGCTGCCGGGTGCCGCGGGCCGGCCTGTCCCTCGTCTCTTCCCCGCCCCCCGGCCCCGCCCCCTCGGCCGCTCTGCTCCCTGGCGTGACTCGGCACTGAGAGAACGCCGCGGGAAGAAGACGCCGCGGCCGCCGCCTCCTAAGTCCAGGCCTGGGCCTTCCCGCGCCTCCCGCGCCTCCCGCCGCTTCCTCCCCCGGGACCGCTTCTCCGTCAGGTTTGAAGCCGGCGGCGTCCCTGCCGCCCTGCCCAGGCTCTCCGAGAATGGTGGGCGTGAAGCCGGTCGGGAGTGACCCGGATTTCCAGCCGGAGCTGAGCGGCGCGGGCTCCAGACTCGCCGTGGTCAAGTTCACCATGCGGGGGTGAGGCCAGGCCCGAGCCCGGGGCGGGGGGTAGGGGGCGCCGCTGCCGTCCGCTCCGTCTCCTCCCGGCCCCTCCCGCCTTGCCGTCTCCTTCCGCCCCCGGAAGTGTCCGGCCCCAGGCCGCCGCCCCGTGAGGCCTCAGCCCCTGGGTCTGAAGCCCCTGCTCGTGGCCCCGGGGGGCGGCTCCGGCGGGCTCGCAGGCTTGCCCGGCCGCGTCTCCCGGCCTTTGGACGAGTTCTGCGCTCGCGGGCGGCCCGGCTCTTTTCCTTCTTGTCTACGGACGTCTTCCTGCAGCGGCCCCTGGTTCTGGTCCGTCCCCTTCTTCCCCGGGGTCCAGCTGTCAACTTGTATCTTAGGGACCCCCTCACCCCCCCCAGATTTAACTTAGCGAACGGTTTGTCTTCACTACCCGCAGGTCTGGAAAACATGAAGGAAGATTTCAGCTATGCCTCTAATCCGCCTAGAGCTTAGACCTGAGGCTCAGCTAATGCATTTTAAATTAAGATGTTGGGTCAGGATACTTTTTTACTTTTGTTAAGGGCTTTGTTGCTCCTTTGGTTAGTCTTCTTAGGCCGCCTTGTGTAAGCAATTGCGTATAGTACGTGTGTGTGTGTGTGTGTGTGTGTGTGTGTGTATTACAGGTAGACAGGTGTCCGCACATCTGGCTTTGACCGAATAGGCTCCATTTTTGACTTGGTGATTTAAAAGGAGAGGGAACTTGAAAGGTGTTATCTGGCTTTCGTAAATCTCGACATAATTCATAGGTTGCAGAGCCGGTGGATCTTCCATGTTGGGGGTGTGGTGTGTTTCTGTGTGAGAGTGCCGCGTTGGAAGTGGGTATTCAGAACCAAGGTTTCAGCGAGTTTGTGTTTCTACTGACCTCCCCATGCATATGTCAATGCCCACCCAAATAGGATTAGAAGTGTCCACTTGGCTTACCTTGACCACCCTGGTGGTTATTTACACTATAACTTGGAGAAATCTCCTACAAGTATCACTGTTTACGTAACACATTTTATGTCCAAGATTCCCTGGAGGAGGAAATGGCACTGGCTCCAGTGTCCTTGCCAGGGAAATCCCATGGACAGAGGAGCCTGGCGGACTACAGTCCATGGAGTAGCGAGAGAATCGGGCACGACTTAGCGACTAAACAACAACAAACTATATAAACGTAAGGCGGTGTTTTGACTCTCAGAGCAAAAAGTGCTTCAGACCTGTTGAACATGATTCAATAAATGTTGAATATCTAAACGGTAGCATTAGGATTAGATTCATTTTAAGGGGTGGAGGGAAGCAGATAGAATGAAAACAAGTTAAGAGTTAGTTTCGGACCAATCTCTCTCATATGGAATCAGAAAGGGGCAGTGCATTAGATTTTAAAGTGGGTCTTCCCAGTTTTGTTGGTTTTATAGTGACAGTATTCTTCATATGAGGAAATACCTATACATTTGTTAAGTCCTAGGCCAAAGTTGGGGAAAAGAAGAGATGATTTTAACTGCAGATCTCATTTTTAGCTCAGTTTTCTCACTCTCGTCAGTGGGAGGGTCTGCCCTTTGGCGCCTCTATGATACACTCTCCTTTTCTCCTACTGTAGCAGGATGAGAGATGACAGAATCATACATAATTTATTTGAAGTGAGAAAAGTTACTATCATCCCACTGTAAGCCCAGAACATAGTTTGCTCAAGCACCTATTTCTTAATTTCCTTTCCATTCCTATTTTAAGCCATATTCCTTATTCTCAGTTTCCAAGCTTTAGATAAATTTTATTTATCCTATTAATTTTACTATGCAGATTGTTGCTCTCCTGTTTAAGAATTTCTGTGTCTCTCCAACACTATTTTTCGTTTTTTTAAATTGTTATATGTAACATAAATTTGCAACGTTAGCCTTTTTAAAATGTACAATCCACTGGCATTAAGTACATCCACAGTGTTGTACCACCATTACCCCTATCTCCTAGAAATTTTTCATCATCTCAGACTGCAACTGTGCACGCTTAAACAAATTTCCACACCTTCTCTCCAGTGCCCCCAGCCCCTGGTAACTCTCTTCTACTTTCTGTCTCTATCCAGTTGCCTATTCTTGATAACTCATTATCTAGAAATTTATATATGTCTTTTTGTTTATGGCTTATTTTAGCATGCTGTCAAGGTTCATCCATGTTACAGCATGTGTCCTGTTTTCTTTCCTTTTTCTCTTACATGTATATACCACGTATTGTTTATTCATCTGTTGATGAATGGCTGATGGACATTTGGATGCTTCCATCTTTTGGCATAACACTGCTGTGAACATTAGTGTGCAGGGATCTCTGTTAGTCCCTGCTCTCAGTTCTTTTGGGTTATACCTGTGAGCAGAATTGCTAGATTATAATGTAATTCTGTGTATAATGTTTTGAGAAACCACCAAGTATTTTCCACAGTGACTGAACAAGTTTGCACCAGCCCCACAGGAGAGTTCCAATTTCTCTATGTATCAACTTTTTAAAATATTTTAATAGCCATCTTTGATGAGTGTGAAGTGGTTTCTGGTGGTTTTGACTTGCATTTCCTTGATAACTGATCATGTTGAACATCTTTTCACAAGCTTATTGACCGTTTGTCTTCTGTGGAGAAATGTCTGTTGGGGTCCTTTGCCCATTTTGAACTGGGTTATTTGTTTTTTTGTTGTTGTTGTGGATTTGTGGGAGTTCTTTATATATTGGAGATCTTAACCCTTTTTCAGATGTATCATTTGCAGATATTTTCTCCCATTGGTTGCCTTTTCATTTTTTTTAATAGTGTCCTTTGACGCACAAGAGTTGGAAAATTTTGCTGAAGTTCAGCTTATGTGTGGTGTTTTTCTTCTGTTGTTTGTGCTTTTGGTGTCATATCCCAGAAGTCATTGCCAAATCCAGTATCATGGATATTCCTCCCTGTTTTCATCAAAAAAATTATTAGTTTTAGCTCTTAAGTTTTAGGTGTGTGATCTATTTGTAATTAACTTTTGTATTTGGTTTAAAGTAAGGTTCCAACTTCATTCTTTTGCATGTGGCTTTCCAGCTTTCCCAATACCATTTATTGGAAAAACTGTCTTTAACCCACTGAATGGCAACCTTCTCTAGTATTTTTTTAAGCAACTAAAATAGTCATCACTTCTTTAGTCAGTATAAGGGACTTACTTAAGCACTTGTTGACTCCTGCGGTCCTCAAAATAATCTTTGGTATTATCTCCATTTTATAAACTAAAAGAAAGTTGAGTCATAAAGAGATATTATTTAAGATATCTTGTTTAAGGTCCCATTGTCAAATGCACTGTTTGGATTGTAAAGTGCTATCCTGTTCTTTCCAGCCTAAGCAGAAGGGCGATGCAAATTCACCTCTGCATTGTATGGCGCCTGATATTTTTCAGTAAATGCTGCCTTGAATAAGCTCCGCCTGCAAAACTTTCTGGAGGACAATTCGGCTCACATTCTGATATTCATTTACCTACCTGTAAAATGGGAATAATAACATGTAGCCGAACCAGCTGTTCAGAGGATGGAATTATGTATGTGGATTATATACTGTGATAACTTGTTTTTGTAACTGGTATCTCCAAACTGTTACTTCTTAAATATACCCAGATACACTTAAGTGGTCATAAACAGTTGTTATCACTGATTAATGCCAGGTTTAAAAGGATGTATGTTTTCTTTGCCATAAACCTCAGCAATGAGTGATTTTTATCATGAATTCATGAGTGTACAACTTTTATAGATATGTTTATCATATATTCAGTTTTCTTCAAGCAGGTCTTACTTTGTAATTAGGTGTTATCGCTACTGCCTAAGAAGAATCTCTGAGAATAGCTTCCCTAGTGGCTCAGATAGTAAAGAATCTGCCTGCAATGCAGGAGACCCAGGTTCGATCCCTGGGTTGGGAAGATCCCCTGGAGAAGGGAATGACAGCCCACTGCAGTATTCTTGCCTGGAGAATCCCATGGACAGAGGAGCCTGGTGGGCCACAGTCCATGGGGTCACAGAGAGTCGGACAAGACTGAGCAACTAACAGCAACAACAAAGAAGAATGTCAGTGTGTGTTAGGATAGTGAGATACAGTGACTATGGTAGTTTGTCCCAATAATACATTATACAATAGTACTAACTATGTATTGTGAAAGTGCTGTGGACTGAAGCTACTTTACCATAATACAGGCCCAACAGTGCATAGGGACCAAGCAGGTAATATTGGGGAGTGATGTAGGTGGCAGAAAGATAACTAGGGCTTGGTCAGGCCCTAGAGATTATATAGAGATTTATTTTTTAAATAAACATTTTTATTGGAGTATAGCAGGCATGCAGAAAATATGCACAAACCATTTAGGTGTATAGTTTGATAAGTTTTCGAAATGGTTGCACCTGTTTAACCAATACCCAGTCAGGAATACTAGCATTGCACAATCCCTCACTATCCCCTCAACCCCATCTTCCTGCAGGCTCCTGTCACTCTTGAATTCTGACACTATAAAGATGATATCGTGCAGTATATAATATGTCTGGTTGCCTTTCAAGAGTGCGTAAATAGTTTTAATCTTGGCAGTTAATTTAGAAATAACAACCAAAACAAAGCAAAAAGCAGTGTGGACCACGGTTTTGGAATAGTTGAGTTGGGTTTTGGGATCGGATTTCAGCACTGTGCTTCATTGTTCTTGTCTTTAAAATGAGGAATTGTGAAGCCTAAATGAATTTAAAGGTTTTATAAATTACATAGCATACGATACACGCTTAGTGAACACTAGCAACTCTGTGTCCCTAATAGGATCAGTTATGACTATGCTTGTTCATTAGTAAATATAATACATCTAGAAACAACCTATTCTACAGGCATGCCTCCGAAAAAGTAGGCTTTTAAAATACATCTTCAGAAAGCATGTACATTTTCCACGCTGAGTGTATTTGTACACGTTACTGCCTGATGTAGAGAACTGACTACTTTAGCAAATGGGAAAGAATAGCAAGTTCTTGAAATAGAATCTGTTTGTATTATAACTAAATACAAATCTTATTAAGAAGAACCTAGCATGTTTTCAAAGAAAATTGATGTTGGGATTGGCTTCAGGAGTTAACTGTTCTAGTTGTGGCCCTGCCACTACTAAAGTGTCTGATCTTGATCAAGTCATTTAACTTTTCTGGTGTCTGGTGGTGGTGGTTTAGTTGCTAAGTTGTATCTGACTCTTTGCAACCCCATGAACTGTAGCCTGCCAGGCTTCTCTGTCCATGGGATTCTCCAGGCAGGAATTCTGGATTTGATTCTCATTTCCTTCTCCTTTCTGGCATTTGTCTCTTATTAAATAATTGTGTTCTGTTAGGTCAATTTTAAAGTTTCAGCTTTGTGGGTTTAGTTCTTGCATTCTGGATCTAACAGGTAAGCTTTCCATCAAAGAGTTCAGAGATGGAAAAATAACTTTTTTTTTTCTTTTTTTAAACCTCTGGACTAGATGGTCCCTAGTCTCTTACAAGTTCAAAGGTACTGAGGTTATCTACTATCTAAGGGCTTCGAATTAAGGGCTTTGCAAAGTCGAAAAAGTACAGTCCTGAAATTTAGGCATGTTTGGGGGCATAATGTTCTAGAGGTAGGAAAGGTCCTTGAGGAATCTAGTCCCTTCCTGTTTTCCAGAGAAATCAAATGATTTGTTTGTGAGCTCAGCTAATTTTGGAAGTTAAGGTTTACTTTTAGATGCTAGTGGTAAGCAAGGACCTTATTGAAATAGCAAGTAATTTCACTTGAGTGATTATAATGTGAAAGTATGCTGCTGTATATTTCTGTGTTCTGTGACTTACTTTGATTTTTGAGTAACGTTCCAACTTCTGACGGCTCACTAAATTAAACAGAGGATCGAGATAAGGTTAAATTTTGAAAGGGAACATTTATTTTCAAGACAGTCATTATTTTGCAGTTTGTTTAGCTTCAGGTTAGCTCATACATGATTGATGAGTGATGATGTCCATGCCACAGCAGAGGTTTTGTTGATTAATATTCTAATATTTTTCTTAGGTAGTGAAGGGCAGGAATAGGAATAGAGCCTGTAATAGGAAGGAGAAAAGCCCTCAGCCAGAGGCAGGCTCCCTTTCAGGATCTGTTTCAGAAAGTCTGAATTAATAAAGTTAAACCTGAGCCTCGGCTCCCAGCCCTGGTTCCCCCGCGGGCGTCATTCTCGTACTGTGCTTCCTCGTGTCCCCTGCCTGGCTGGCCGCCCTGCTGGCTCCGAGCTCCCCTGGCCTCTGGAGTCTCACAGCACCTGTAATACAGCAGGCACTTCCATTTGGTTGTTTTTGTACAGTTTAAGTGTCCTCTGAGGAAGCCTCTAGGTCTGAGGCTCCTGCCTGTCTGTCCAGGTATTTCCTGTGTGCCAGTTATATTTTTCTTAGAAATACTTTTACAAAGTTGCATGCGTTTAGATGACTTATGCCAATCTTATTTTTTCCATAAGCCTTCTTATTTTGAGTACATGCTTTTGCAGAAAGAAGGTTTTTTCGGGAATGAGAAAATCTGATATTGTGTGTATACCAGGTATATTCTGTGATATAGAATGATATTTGTGCTTCTCCTGTGACTACTGTTTAAATGCAGCTAACATTTAATCATCATCTATCAATTTATTTACTATCGTAAAAGGAAAATAGCTATCATATAAGCCAAAGAATACAGGAGTATAGGTAGTTTTGAAAGTCTCCCCTAAAGTTGCTCTTTCTTTTCCAATCCCATTTTTCAGAAGTAATAGTTTATTGTGTGACACTCCTAAGTTGTAAGTATGTATTTGTTTACACATATAGCATGTACATATATAAAGGCGTGTGTTTAATGTGGTCATGGAGAACATATTTTTGTGAGACTTAAGTTTTCTTTTGAACAGTACAGATTATCCTTATCCCCTGGTGTGAATATGTCATAATTTTTGTTGTTCAAGTATAGTTGATACATGGTATTATATAAGTTACAATGTACCATACCGTAATTCACAGTTTTTAAAGGTCACACTCCATTTATAGTTATTACAAAATACTGGCTCTGATTCCTTGTGTTATACCATATATCGTAACTTATTTTATATATTATAATTTTAAAAAATATTTTCCTATTGATTGCCATTTAGATTATTTCTATCATTAAAAAACTACTTCAGATGTTTCATTGAACTTCCTTATACATATTATTATGAAATTGAGTGTTAAGATAGGGTTGACTTTTAGGAGTAAGGTCGTTGAATCTTGGATTGTGGTCATTTAAAGTTGGTAGATAATGACCAGATGGCCCTTCAAAAAGGATCTACCAGTGTGTACTCCCATCCATAGTGTTTAAGACTCATTAAAAGCCAGTAGTATTTTGCTAACCTAAAGATAGATTTCATCGACTGTAAATGTTTGTTCCTTTAAAATTTAGTCTCAGGGCCTAAAATTGTTGCATCCAAAAATTTATTTTCAGAAGCATCAAGTTTAATATTTAAGAAATTAATAGTTATTTTCTTGTCGTGAGTCTTAAAGATGGCAAAAGATGAAAATGCTGATTAAAATATTAAGAATGGAAAGAGAATCACAACTTGAGTTTGAACATTTGTGAATTTGAACATCTTGTGCTTTAGAATCTGCTTTTCCTTGTGTTTTTGTCTGTTAAAGCCAAGATTTTTCTTAATTTTAATTTTTTGAAACTTTCTTTGAAATATACATAGTACACAATGATAAATGTACAGTTCAGAGAATTTTCACAAACTGAATACACATGCATATTTATTTACCTTTTGGACAAATGGAACATTACTAACCTCTTGAAATCTCTCTTGTGCCCTTATCCTGTCACTGACAACAGTGACTTGTTTTGGTATTTATAATACCATTGATTTATTTTACCTGTGCTTGAACTGTACATAAGTGGAATAATAGACTATAGTTATTTTCTCAGTGTTATTTGTGAGGTTCATTTATGTTTTGGTATGAGGTTTTACATCAGTCATTTTCATTGTTATATAGTATTCCAGTGCGTGAATAACTACAGTTAGTTTACTCATTCTGTTGTTGAGAGGAACTTAGGTGGTATCCACTTTTCAGCTGTTAGAAATGTTGCTTCTGCCAATATTGTTTCACATGCCCTAAGGCAAACACACATAAATATTTCTGTTTTATATACCCTGGATGTGGTCATTGGTAGGCATAAATCTTACTTTAACAGATAGCTTCAGTTTCTTTTCTTACCCCGTAAAGTGGTTATACTCATTTGCACTGTCACTAACAGGTCATTTGCTCCAAGTTCTTGACAGTACTTCCTTCTTTATTGTTTTAACTATTTTAGTGGGAGTAGTTTTTGCACATCCCCCGTTTCCTTAGTGACTGAGGAAGTCTTTTTCTATTTACTGACTGCTTGGATAACCTCATTTGTCCTATTCGAGAGAACCCTTTTTTTTCTTTTGGATAACAGTCTTTTTATTGATTTGTAGGTGCTTTTTTACATATTAGAGGTATAAGTCGTATGTTTGATATGTTTTACACATTTTTTTTACCAGTCTGTGGTTTGTCTTTTCACCCTTTAAATGTTATCTTGATGAACAAAACTTAACTATCATATTTTCCAGCTTATCAAGTATATCCCCAAATATCAGTTCTTTCCTTTTCTCTTTAGTGCTTTCAGTATTTTAAGAAATAAATTTTTGCTTACTCAAGGTTTTCAAAGTATTCTCTGTATTTTTTTTACCCTGACACCGTTGTTTTACTGTTCACATTTAGATCTATAGTCCATCTGGAGTTGGTTTTTGTGTACATTGTGAGTTGGGAGTCATTTTTTACCCCCAGGTGGATATCCATTTTGACTCAGCAATGTTTATTGAAAGACTATCCTTTCTCCACTGTACTACTGTGTCAACTTTTTCAAAAGTTAGGTTACTGTGTATGGGATGGGTCTACTTTTGAACCTTTTTTTAAAAAGTTGGTGAGTTTGTTTATGCTTTATACTCTTAACTTATAATAAAGCTTTTTGGTAGTTTTTAATATCTGGTAACATAAGTCCTTCACGTTTGAACCCAGACTGCCTGGACTATCCTTGATATTTCCCTATAAATTTTAGAATTTAAAGTTGTTAATTTCTCCCAGAAAACCTGTTAGAATTTTGCATTGACTTTAAATATCAAATTGAGGAGACTTGACATCTTGACAGTATTGAGTTTTCCAATTCATAAGTGTAGTATAGGCCTATATTTATTTAGCCCTTTAATTTCTTTTAGTGAGAAGAAAGCTGGAATATGACAGTATTAGACTTAAAGACAGTGTAAGCCTGTAGTCATGAGGTAGTGTGATACTATTGTGAGCGTATCTGAATAACACAATGGAAAGAGGAAGTCTAAAGGGAAGATGATCAGAGCTTTTTAGTTTTATGCTTTAATTGACGAAATCTTTAGAGTGTAAATTAGTACAATCTTTGGTGTTATCTTACAAAGTGTCTCTTACCTTTTTCACAGGTGTGGACCATGTTTAAGGATTGCCCCAGCATTCAGTTCTATGAGTAATAAGTATCCACAGGCAGTTTTCTTGGAAGTAGATGTACATCAGTGTCAGGTAAGGCAAGAGGGCCCTTTTGAAATTTTTTGAAAATTTACAGATTGGCTTGAAATTCACATTAATATCATCCTTTATTTATCTCTTTGTGTACTAAGTACTTGTTTATTTGGAGGTAGAATGATGTCTGTCTTGCAGTGGTGAATGCAAGTGTTGTTAAGGCTGTATTAGTAAAAGTAGTCTGATATTAATTGCTTCTGGGTTTGTCTATATTAATATTTTATTCATATAAAACTAATAGAATGTGGTAAACTTACTAGGTCACTTGGCTGTTCTGTTTTACATTCCTTTATTTTTTTGCAAATCTGGAACTATATCTTATACTATTGACACATTGGTTGGTTAAAAAGCCATGGGAGAGAATTCTTGGTTATAGTTTGATTTGAATTGATCATTTTATGACCTTAGCTCCAAAGCTTCATACTCAGCAGAAAGTTTAAAACGTTGATTGTTGCTGATTGAGCCACAGGTAGATTGCCCTGGTTACTTAGTTGGCATGGCTGTGTGACAGTTCTGCGTTTGCATATGTGTAAGTATGAAAGAGTGGTTATGCAAAAAAGTTTTTGAAGGCTTCTTACAACACAGAAGACTACAAAAGTGTAATCTTGACTGAGGAACAGCTCTGTGGTTTTCTTTTTTTTTCCATTGAAGCTTTTGCCTTTGATACATTTCTGGGTTGAAAATAAAAAATCTTAGAATGTTACATAGTTTGTAGGTAAGCAGTTTGGGGATTTGGTGCAAACTCTGTGTTACATGTTCATTGTTTAGTACTTAGGTCACATTCTGCTGGACAGCAGCTCTGGCCTTATATCAGTATTCGGTGTCTCTAATCTGGAAATGCTGTCTTCTGAAGCTGTGTCGTCCTGTATGGTAACCACATGTAGTTGGTTGAAATGAGCACTTGAAATATGGCAAGTCCAAATTGAGTTGTGCTGTGAATGTAAAATGCATATAGGATTTTGAAGATTTGGTATGAATGAAAAAAATGTAAAATATGTCATTAACTTTTATATCAACTATATGTTTAAAAGTGCATATCTGGATTTACTAAAACAGGTTGCTAAAATGAATTTCACTTGTTTCTCTTTACTTTTTTGTCTGTGGGTTCTAGAAAATTTTTAACATGTATAGCTCACATTTGTATCTTACATTTCTTTTGAATGGCACTGTCAGTCTTTCCTTTTTTCCCCACTTACGAGGCTTAGAGAAGACATCTTTGTAAACTATGCTTTTTTTTTAAATAGTCACAGCTCTTCCCGGCATTAGAATATGCAACAGGACATATTTATTTTACTTATTTTCTTTATATTTCTCATGAGGAACTTAAACCATAAAGCAGTGGTTAACTAATTTTCATTTGGTGGCTAGTCTTATAATATCATGGAGTTGGAGTAGAATTTGAAAAGATACCAGTTGCAGTGTTTTTGATGGGAGACTAGAAGTCCTTTCTTTAAGAGTAAAACTAGGTGACGGTGTTTCATGGACAGACGGGCTGCTGTTTTTTCACATGTGTACTTTTTACTAGTAGCAGGGTTTGTGTTGACAAATCTCAATACCCTTCTGGGTTTCTCCATTTGAGGAATAGTCTGTGCTTATAAGAGAGAAGTATCTGGTTTTGTAAAGTGCAGTTTCTGTACTGGAAACTGATTGTTCTGCTGAATGAATGAATGAAGCATTTAACACTAAAACAAAAATACAGGGCTATTCTTCATTGTGGACATACGAGTAATATAGTTGTGACCTTTAAGAATAGGCTTGCTTTTTCTTAAGTAACAGGAGTAAGTTATTTTACATGTTTTTAGTTCATGTTTGTGATATTTAACTTCCATACAGATGCATAGTGAATATTCCCAGTAGTTTAAGATTAGTTTTAATTTGTAATGCTATCTAACTTGACATTTCTAGGGAACAGCTGCCACCAACAATATATCAGCAACACCTACATTTCTGTTTTTTCGAAACAAAGTGAGAATTGATCAGTATCAAGGAGCCGATGCTGTGGGACTAGAGGAAAAAATCAAGCAGCACTTAGAGAACGACCCTGGGAGCAACGAGGACACCGATATTCCGAAAGGCTATGTATGTGGTCTTAGAAGTGAAATGATGTCACTTGCATTTGTCATTATTTGGTTGAAATGATGTCACTTGCATTTGTCATTATTTGGTTGAAATGATGTCACTTGCATTTGTCATTATTTGGTTGAAACGAAATTTACTCTTTGCATGTTTTGTCTTTTGCTAGTTAAGAATACTTTCCAGTAAGAACTTTGAAAATGAGTTCAGTAGCTGAGTGTTGGGTTTTGTCTGTGTAATATGTATTATAAACTTACGTGCATGTGTGCTAAGTCACTTCAGTCGTGTCCGACTCTGTGACCCTATAGACCGTAGCCCATCAGGCTCCTCTGTCCTTGGGATTCTCCAGGCAAGAGTACTGGAGTGAGTTGCTATTCCCTTTTCCAGGGGAATCTTAGTGACCCAGGGTTTGAACCTGTGTCTTTTGCATCTCTTGCATTAACAGGCAGGTTCTCTACCACTAGCGCCACCTGGGAAGCCCATTATAACCTTAAGTCCCCATCATAAACTCTTTTTCCAAAATTTCTTCTCCTAATTTTTTTAAAAAAATTAGTAAATCCTGCATACCAAAAGATATATGTGTATATTTTTTTTAATTTTGCTTGTTATAAAGTTAACGGCAAATTAAAAATGAATTTTTAAAAGGTAAGTGTTACCTCGAATTAAAGCTACTATATGAAAGCATGTATACCAAATGCATTAAAACAGATCTGTTACAGGGCTACCAGTCTTTCTGTAAGGCTCTTAAATTCATGTTGAATAAGGAGACTTTGTAGTCAGGTAAATAATGAGCAGTTCTTTTTATATGTGTGAGTGGCAGGGTTGTGTCTTCAAAAAACACCTTTAACATGTGGTAGCTGCATTAATTACTTCAAGTTAAGGAATTTTAATAATATTTAAACTAGAACTGTGATATAATTTGAAATAGTAATATTCAATTAGAAAGTATGAACATGGATAAGTCAGGGTTGTGACACCTTTTGGAAAATTTTAGAAATCATTTGACTTGTAAACTGCTGTGTTTACCTCTTTGTATTTTTCCTTTTATTACTAAGGATTTTTGCATGAAGAAGTCTTACAGGCACAACAGTCTGGCTGCTTAACTGTAGGAATGGTTTATTCTTTACATCAGCTGAGTGTGATACCAGGGTTTGGGTTTTGGTTGGAAATAAGCAGGAAAAAATAAAGTTTTAAGAAGTAAATTAAAGTTAGTTTTCATTCAGATGTTATGAATACACTGAAAAACTATAAACCACGGTTTCATTTTTTCCATCAGGTGTCAATCAAGACTGCAAAAGTTTTGAACTGTAGATCTTACTGGGTTATTAAATGTTTAAAACTGGTAGTGTGTTCTCAGAACGTCATTGTTTTCACAACGTAAATGGAAACTGAATGAAAACCTGTGTCTTAAAGTAGATTTAAATAGAAGCATTGCAAAAATATATTCACAATTTTAAAATAACATTGGGTTTGTTAGACTAAAGACTTTGTCATTAGATTTTAACACTGAGAGTCTATACAACTACTGATTTCACACATCCTGCAGTTTTGAAACTCCTGATTTGACTGGAGTCAGAGTTAAAGAAATAGGTATCTCTTCTAGGGGGAGCTGAGATATTGCAAAAGATGTAGGACATAATACTCAAAAGATTAAGAATCAAAAAGATTCTTATTAAGAAGGCAGTATTTTTGTAAAAATAATGACTTTTGGTTTTTAATATGTTTACTGAATTGGGAAAATGTTAAGCATTTCTATTTTTTCCTTTCCCATATTTGCTAAGTGTGCCTTGTATGGCTTCAAATAGCATGAGGGGGCTAGCTGTATCAAGTCTTCCTCTTCAGAAGTTTACATGCTGGGCACTCTGGAATCAAATTTGTGTTTGCACGTGTTTTGTTTAAGTCTTAAGGCTCATTAGTGTATTTCAGTATTCCAACATCCTAACTGTTGGTTTTGGTCTACAAATTTGTCACATTCATCAAAATAAATAAAACATTGAATGTCCCTAATTTACGTAGTAGGTAGGACAGATATTTCTTTAACCAAAAACTTGAAGCATGAAGAGCTTTTGTGTAACTCCCGTGTGTCTTCTGTTGGATTCCATCCCTTCCTCCCCTAAAACAATAGGTAAACTATAATCAAACCAAAAAAGTTGACTGTAGTACTACAAACATGGATATCATTCACTTATACTCATCAGTTGTGAATGTTTTGCTGTTTTTGTTCTATATCAGTATGTATGTATCTGCTTTTGTTTTTTGCGGCATTATTTACAAAATAAGCTATAAACATCATGTTGGTTCATGTGTAAATATTTCAGCACTTAGCTCCTAAGAATAAGGACATTCTCTGATATAGCCATGATGCCATTATCACTTCTAAGAAATTTAACATTGATATACTTATCCCTAATGTACAGCTTATATTAAAATTTCCTTAATTGTCTCTGAAATATACTTTGTAGCTTTTTTCCCCTCAATCTTGGATCAAATCAGGGGTCATGCATTGCTTTTAACTTGTCAGTCTCTTTAGTGTTCTTTAGAAACTTCCGTGTGCCTTTATTTCTTTCATGACTGCCTTTTTGAAAAGTTTAAAACATCACCAGTCTGCTACAATAGCTGCTAGACACGTGTGGCATTTTTTATGTGACTAGGGCAACTGAGGAACTGCATTTTCAATTTTATCTATTTTTAATTAATTTTAAATTGACACATGTGGCTAATGGCTGTCTCATTGTACAGTGCAGGTCTGGACCATCTGTCTTATACACTGTCCCACAATCTGGATTTATGAGATTGTTTTCTCATGATTCTTTCCTCGTTATTGGCAAGTTGATTGCATAAGTAGTAATATTTATTTCCAATAGCATGTTTCCAGAATATGTCAGTTTGCAATTATGTCAAATATATAACATTATGCCAGTTTGTCCCAGACAGTGTTGAATAATAGAGCACTTTAATGCAGCTGTTCAGCTATGGTACTTGTTTTGTGTGTACCAAGATAAATTAAAAAACAACTTAAAATAATTTAACTATTTAGTTTATTTTCATCATTAAGGTATTGGAAGTATGACTGCAATGTTGCCTTCAAACTTGGGGTCTTGATCCTACATATAGTATGGAAGAGGCATCATGGTAGGATGGTAGACATTTAAATGTTCATAAGATTTTGTCACATTTTCAAGACAGATATTACGGAGTTCAGAATAATTCTGTAGAAGTAGAACTTGCTCTGTAATGCTCCTTTTCTTCCTACCTCTCTTTGAATTGGCTACAGTATGTTACCCTGAGTAATATATTTAACATCTAATGCAGTATAACATTTAATATAATAGAATATTTTGGCTTTGAAAGCATTTAGGCTAGTCTGTGAATAATTAAGGGTCTATTCTAATGAATTTTTACCATATTGGTAGTTATTTGACCTGTAAAAATTTTTTTCTTTAGTCTTTCAGAACTGTATACACATGTATTAGTATATATATTAGTGTTAGTAATGAAAACTGATAGAACATGCAACTGATAATTTATAATACTTGGTAAACTTTATTGCTTGGTAAACTTTAAAGCAGTTCTTGTTTAGTGGAAGAAATGGATACTTTTCTAGAAAAATAGTTTATCAAAATCAACTGCACGAGAAGCAGAACTCCTAAATAGATCAGTCACCATTGAGGAAATAGAGAAAATAGTAAAAGAGCTCTTCCATAAATACCAGGATGACTTCACAGGGAAATTCTAGCAAATCTCTATAAAGATCAGATAGTCTAGTGTTACTGCAACTGCTTAAGACAATATCAAAGGAGAGAAAACTTCCAACTTTATTTTTGAAGTATAACATTGATCCCAGAATCTGATAGAGTTTGTACCAAAAAAAAGTTACCAACCAGTTCCAGTTAGGAATATTGGTGTACAAATCTTAAATAAAATATTAGTAAACAAAATCCAGCAATCTAAAGGAGAAAAATCATGATCTTCTAATCTGTGGGGAAAGCATCTAAGAATTCTTTGTTTATTTATTTTGGCTGTGCTGGGTCTTTGTGGCTGCACGGGCTTACCTCTGGCTGCATTGGGCAGGGCTGCTCTGGCTGTGGTGCACGGGCTTCTCATTGCGGTGGCTTCTCTCGGTGCTGCCTCTAGCATGGACTCCAGGGCACGTGGTCTTCAGTAGTTGTGGCTTGTGGGTTTCGTGGTTGCAGCCTCGGGGCTCTAGCGCACAGGCTCAGTAGTGGCAGACAGGCTCAGCTGCTCCGCAGCATATGGGATCTTCCCAGATCAGGGATCGAGCCTGTGTCTTCTGCATGGGCAGGTGAATTCTTTACCACTGAGCCACCAGGGAAGCCCGGGAAAAAATAGTTGACAGAATGCAATATCCATTTATTCCTAAAGCATTCAGTAAAATTTTAATGGGAAAGCACTGGAGACACTCCCACTGAGTCAGAAGCGGGGCAGGGATGCCCGCCGTCACTGCAGCTCTTTGGTGTTCTGTTGGAAGGGTGAGCCAGCACCAACACAGGAAACGGGGACATGCCACAGGACGCGACGGGGAAGCAGTCAGCAAATCCAGAGAGAAGAAATCTACAGGCTGAATGGCTGCATTAAAAGAGATTTTAGAGACATTAACCAAATGCAGTTGTTCATACTTGTCTTGGATTCTTATTGAGTCTTAACTGATTCAACGGTAAAATATTTGAGACAGTTGAAGAAATTTGAACATTGATATTGATGGTACTAAAACATTATCAATGTTACAGTCATGGTAATGATATTGAGGATTTTTTTTTTTCAAGAGTCCTTATCTCTTAGAAATGCTTATGAACACACTGAAATGTTCATGAATAACATGAGAAAGATGTCTAAAATTTACATGAAAATAATCAGGAAAAAGGTTGGGGCTGGTTACAGAGTAATGGTGAAACCGGAGTGGCTGTGAATTGATGATTGTTGCATCCAAGAGGTGGGCACCTTGAGGGTCACTGTGTGAGTCTATTTATGTACGTTTAGAATTTTCCATAATATAATTTTTTAAGTAGTTATTTGCCATTCATCTTTTTTTTTTTTAATACTTATTTATTTTATTTCTTTGGCTTGTGCTGGGGTCTTAGTTGCAGCATGCAGGGTCTTTAGCTGCAGCGTGTGGGATCTAGTTCCCTAAGGATCAAACATGAGCCCCCTACACTGGGATCTCAGAGTCTTAGCCACCAGGGAAGTCCCTAGTTCATCTTTAATCCAAACTCTTCATGGATACAGGTTTAAAGAGTGCATGATCACTAGAAGAGGGAGGTACGCTTTCTTTAGATATTTTGTAGATATTTATTTTAATTTGTGTATTTTCCACTGCCAAACACTGTTACTAAAAAAAAAAGTATATATTATCATTTAATAATCTTTGTGTTAAAGACTTGGTTTTAGATACTTATTAAGTAGGCTAAGGCTCAATTTGTCTTTAATTATTAGTGGTAGATATCAGAAGTTTGGACAAAACGGTTATTATAAAAGTTTTAGTAACTTTTAAATGAGATAGAAATTTCTTAACTTAATCAAGAGAGAATTACTTCAATACAAAATAAAAAGTTAAAAAAATTAAGAGAGTCACAAGGGTCTATTGTACGGCACAGGGAATAAAGTCAATAGAGTACATTCAGGTTATTAAAAAGATAAGTGGAATATAACCATTAAAAGTTGTTAACCACAAGTGTTGTACACTGAAAACATAATTTTACACAGTTTAAAAGAGAATTACATATTTACATTTCTTACTGAGATTTTTATACCAAATCCAAATGCTTTGTCTGACGTCTTGGTTTAAATTTTCAGATGGATTTAATGCCTTTTATTAACAAAGCTGGCTGTGAATGTCTTAATGAAAGTGATGAGCATGGATTTGACAACTGTTTACGAAAAGACATGACCTTCTTGGAATCTGATTGTGATGAACAGGTAACTGAATGCTTAGGGCTTGTAGAGATTATCAGTATTTGTGCCCACACATGTCTCCATCTCATGGTTTCATGTCTCTCCTTTCCAGATGATCACTTTTTTCTTCCTTTTTATAACTTCACCTCTGTCCTCTGACCCTGCCAACTCACCCCCTTTCTTTGTTTATGCCAGCTGCACTGTGAAGAATCATAGAACTCTTGGGTTGTCTGGAAGGCTGGGTTGAGCCTTCACTGTCCTTAAGTCCTTTTGTTCATCCTTCTTGACCTGCCTTCATACTTTGTACCCACCTAAATGAGACTTAATTAGATGAGCACTCCTTTCATGTCTCGTCCTCAGTCCCAGTGTAAACCTGTTGTATTTCCCTGTATTTTCCTGCAGTGTTGTCACAGAGAAAGTAGGATAGTGTAGTTCTGCCTTGATCATGCCATCTCTGTCTTCATCTTGCCTGTTATTTAAAACTTTATTTTCTGAAAAATTTTTTTCTTAAATAATTACTATACCATTGCCTCTGCTTTGTCCCCATTCCAGTATATCTTTTATATGTTCACAAAAGTTATTTCTGTAAAATATAAATCATATTTATATTTTGATTTCTTAAAAGAGTTAAATGATTCTTCAGTGGCTTCAGGAAGAGGATGTCATATGCTTACTGACTTTATCTACTTCTAGCTTTCTACTCTCATATCCTCTTCACCTATGGTTCAGGTCCCTAAATGGGTCATGTTTATTTCCTGACACCCAAATACAGGTCAAGTATTAAAAGTACTTAATAACTAAAGAGAGTAGTCTTAAGTATTTTCTTAAGCAAATAGACCACAGTGATTTGAAATAAATCTAAATCCCATTTTCCTTTGCTCCAACCAAAACTACCTTATTTTATTGCTTGAAAATACCATTCACATTGTGCGCCTTGTAAATGGTGCCCTAAGCGTAATGTGGTGGTGTGTATCAGAAGGGCTGGCTCCAGGTTCCCTGAAATCTTCCTCCTGAGGAAACCTTCCTCCCAGGCTGGAAGCATAAGCCTTCATCAGACAAAGTTTTGGCTGGAAAGAAGATTGAATGAATGAATCAGAGAGAGGCATTTCAGCAGTTTTGTATTTCAGTTCCCTTGGGTGGCTTTCCAGATTCAGTGAGTCAAATACATTTAGGATGGAGGTTTGGAGGTTACTAATAGAGCTGTGAGTCCTGTTCTCTTGAGTTTTGAATCAAATAGAGTCCATTTGATATCTAGTCTCTCCACATAACCTGTGTGCATTGTCTCCAAATTGTCAAGTGACCATGGGTAGATGCATCCACAGATAAACTGTTTCAGAAAATATTAAGCTTCATATGTTAAAACCCATAGTTTAAGTTTTAATTTGGGGGTTTTGTTTAATTTTTTGTGGGGGGGAGGTGGATTGTTGTCAGTTTTTAGGTCATGAGGCTTTAGGTTCTTAACATATAATTTTAATTAATTCTGTTAAATTTTGTTGTTATTCCTTTATAAAAATAATAGAATATTGTATTTCTCAAATGTCAAACTAATCAAGTTACTTTCAGCTTACTGATATTCTGTATTACATTGGTTTTGTTAGATGAATTAAATTTTCTCTGCTTCTTAATTATTTTAATTCTCCTTAGCTGTATGAGTTACTTAAGATGTTTAACAGCCCTTTAAAAATGAGACAATTATTTTCTTCACAGCTTCTTATTACTGTGGCATTCAATCAGCCTGTTAAGCTTTATTCAATGAAATTTCAAGGGCCAGATAATGGTGAGTAATGGGCAGCTTTTCTTTAAAGTAACTTTCTGCTCTATAGAACTGCTGGAATATATTTACAACTTTTCTTTGTTTTAAATTGATGTATAGTTGATGTACAGCAGTATGTAAGTTTCAGGTGTACAACATAGTGATTTACAGTTTTTAAGGATTATACTCCATTTACAGTTATTCTGAAACATTGGCTGCATTCCCTGTGAGCGTCCTTGCAGCTTGTTTATTTTATGCGTAGCTGTTTGTGCGTCTTAGTTCCCTGCCCCTCTCTCGCTCGTCCCCTCCCCTCTTCCCTCCTAGTGACTGGTTTGTTTTCTTTACTTTCTGAGTCTGTTTCATTTTGTTAGGTTCACTAGTTTGCTTTAGTTTTTAGATTCCACATAATAAGTGATACCATGCAGTATTTGTCTCTGTCTGCCTCACTTGTCCCACTTAGCGTAATATCCTCCTAGTCCATCCATGTTGCTGCAAATGGCAAGATTTCATTCCTTTTTATGGTTGAGTAGTGTTCCATTGCATATGTATATATACTCCATCTTCTTTGTCCATTCTATTACTGGTCCCGTAGGTTAAAACTTGTTATTAAATAGAGGTAGAGATCTCTTGTTTTGGGAAAGAGTGAAATTGTTCTTGGAACAAAGCAATGACAAATAATGTAAGATTATTGGGCCAAAAGTAATTTAAAAAAAACTTTCAGCATTTTTCCTCTTCATCTGAAAACAAGGGAGCCCTTTCTTCCAACTTAGAGTTCTAGGTTTGAGGTAGCTGTTTTTCAGGGTGGGAACTGGGGGAGACTTATTTCACATTCTTCCTATTACAGGTGATAAAACTAAGGCCCTAGATTCTCCTCTGTGTGTGCTAATTAAAGTTGCATTTTCTTTATACATATTATGATGCTGTAAGCATGATTTTGTTCAATAGAGTTGTTCTTACCCCCACCCCCTTTTTTCTGTTTCTTTTCTTTTTTTTTTTTTGGCTGCTGGGGGTGGAGATGGGAGGGGGCCTGAGGTGGGGAGTGGGGACTCGGATTTGTTGTTGTTTTCTTAGTTGATTGGGAGAAACAGTGCCCTGTTTATAAGATAGCATTCCCTTAAGTCATTTACTATTCTAAGTTTCCATGGGTTAATGATTTTTTCACTAATAAAATTGTTAATTTATTCTGAAAATACAAAGTATTTGTAAAAGCAAATGCCATAGAAATGAGTATATAAGCCGTGTGGCTATGGTAAGATTCTTCAGTCAGTCACAGAATGCTGGTCTGAAGCTACAGACTAAGACATTCTACAGTGTAATTTTAGCACTGAGCACAGCCTAATCCCTACGACGAAATCTGGCAGTTTGTGTAGTTAATTTCCTCTGGCTAAATATTGTCACCAATAATGCTTTTCTCCTAAATAACAAAAGGTGCCAGTTGATGGCAACTGGAAGACTCGGCTCGATGTTTCTTTTATGAAACTTACCATCCTGCGTGTGTGTCAGACTCCACTGCTGCCTTGCCAGTACCTCCTCCCTGGGAGCTGTACATTCCTCTCTGCCTGTCTCCTGCAGTTGAGGGCAGGAACTCTGTGTGTATGTGTGCGTGTGTGTGTGTGCTTTAATCTACTATTCCTAGTACCTAGTGTAGTTTTAGCAGGCCAAGAATATACCACTAAATGTCTGTTGAGAGAGGAGGAGCATGGCTATGAAAATACTCAGACGTTCTTAAAATTTCTAAAGGTAGAGGTAGGTGTGTGCATATGTGGGCATATTTGTATAGAGCGAACGTAATGATAAAGATGACAAAGTATTATATGTTTGATGTTAGCATTTAATTTTATTCTATCGTTCTATAGGTCAGGGTCCTAAATACGTAAAAATTTTTATCAATCTACCACGGTCTATGGATTTTGAAGAGGCAGAAAGAAGTGAGCCAACTCAAGCTCTGGAACTAACAGAGGATGATATTAAAGAAGATGGTATTGTCCCTCTTCGTTACGTTAAGTTTCAGAACGTTAACAGTGTAACTGTAAGTAGTGTTTCATTCAGATGTATGCAGCGGGTTGGGGGTGACAATTCATGCCGTCTTCAGTGTCCTAGCTGATTCAGGTTATCCTTAAAAATGGTTAATTGTCCATTTGGTTTGAAATGCATTAAAATGTCTAATGAGCTAATTAAATTTTCTTCTTTTTAATTCATCTGTGTGCCCTAAAAAGGAAGGTGGATTTTTTTTGTAGGTTTGTCAAATACATATATATATGGCATGTATATGCCAACTTTTGTTAAAAGTTTATTCTAGAACACTTATTCTTAAACCAGATACTTATTCTTCCTTCATACCTGGTAATGAGTGAGGATACGTTTCTAAAATCCAATTTACTTTTGATTCATGCAGTGGCCATGATATCAGTAAAAATTGACTTTTTAAAAACATAATTTTGTGTTATCTTAATTTACATTATGAAATCAGCAGCTTTTTAGCAGTTACTAATTGCTTTTTTGAATTCTAGTATTAAACCCAGCACACGCTTCTAAACCACCTGTCATTCCATTCCATCAGAGCAGGGGTTTGGAGGGTTAGAGCAGAAGGCTGAGAAGGAGGAGCTGGAAGCAGCAGAGTTGCCTGAGAACAGGGCATGCCAAAGGAGCGTAATTTCTTTGTGTCGGTGGATTCCGGTTTTTGTAAATTAGAAGAATGCTATAGCTGTGTTCATTTTGGGAAGTTTTCAGTGGAATTTCACAGAATATACTTAGCAGTAAGATAAAGGATTATATTGAGTTTTGAGTAGAAGTATTTTACCCAGAGTAAATTAAAGGAAATGGTTATATCAAACTACAACACTGGTTATGAAATATTTTCTTGACTTTATTCATTTGTAACATATTTACTTGTAACATTTATTTGTAACATATTTATAAATATTTGTTACATATTTGTAAGATGTTTATTTGTAGCATTCAGTTAATTACACCTATTGCTTTATGTAGTGATGGGAGGACGCCTTTGGTTTATTAGAAAAAGCCCTTTAAACCCAGAGATCCTAATACAATCTCTTCTGTCTTTGAGAATCATTGAACATAGTTACTTTGTGATAGGTTCATAGTCTTTACTGTGTCCTATTAAAATCATACTTTTAAACTCATAATTTTAGTCAGTGACTTAAATTCAGACACAGAAAGCACACCTGTCACTTTTTTGATGATAAAGTTGAAATCCAAATGACAGTTTTGTTCAGAAAGTCTAAGAAAAATAAGTACATGAATTTTTAAAAGCAGTAAATATAAACTGTTGTGCTTAGATTAAAAAAGCATTGCAGATATAGAGAACTAGTTTAATAATCTCCTTATTATAGACTTGAAGTTTTTAATTGGTAAGCTCAATTCGAGATGAACCTGTGGTTGCCTGAATAAACAACAAAACTGATTTTCATATGAAAACGGAAAAAGAATGATGCCCAAATCAAGAGAGGCAATATTCTTAAGTAGACAGCATCTAGAGTATTATTTTTTAAAATGGAGCAAATTTAAATAATCCAGTGTATTGAAAAAGGACCTATGAATAAAGCATCTGTCTCCTAACATGCTGAGGGAAATTTTTAAATAGAAAGTATAAAAGGAGCAAGCTTAATAAAACATGCCGGGCACAGTATGGGCTTCCCAGGTGGCTCAGTGGGTAAAGAATCTGCAGTGCAGGAAATGTAGGTTTGATCCCTAGGTTGGAAAGATCTCCTGGAGAAGGACATGCAACCCACTCCTACATGCAAAGCACAGTGTAGTTTTAGGAGCTGACTTCCAGTGCTCTTTTTTCTTTTAACATTTTAGGGAGTAGAATGAATGATGGAGTTTCAGAAAGACTATAACTGCCAAGATTTTCCTCAGTAAAAAATTATAATTTTAGTAAAATTTCAGTAGCATTCTGCCTATTGTAATCTTGAGTTTCATGCTCTTTCAGTATTCTCTGTAAATAATTTAATTTTGACCCTTCAACATTGTCATGCCAAATCATGCAGAGCTTACATATATAAGTATCCTGCCATGATCCCCCTTGGACAAGGTAAGAACAGTCGAACAGACAGTAGAATTAATGATGCTATAGGAATCCTAGTGTAAATGTAATTTGGATTAATCCTTATAAAGAATGGAAGGTATTTTTATTAATAATCTAAGAAAATTCATTTAATGAGCATGTTTATCAAAAAAGAAGTGGAATCATTAATGGTGAAATTCTTTGTGTGTGTAGATATTTGTTCAGTCCAATCAAGGTGAAGAAGAAACAACAAGAATTTCATATTTTACTTTTATTGGGACTCCAGTCCAGGCAACAAATATGAATGACTTCAAACGAGTAAGTTTGTTTAAATGATATCTAGGAGAAATAAAAATAGTAATTTTAAAGAAATAATTTTAAAATGATCAAAATCATATTATGTCATGAAATTTTATAAGGATAAACAGAACAGTAGGGCCTTCTAATCACATTTTTAGATTTCTTAATAAGAAATCTCTAATAAAGATAAGTGTCATTGACACAGTGTTAATGTATGGCATCCAAATAAGGTATAAATTATTGTTTTGTTATAGCAGGTAGTTAGGGATAGTGAAAATTGGAGTACAGTAAGTCATTATTAGTGAATTTTTAAGAACTTTGCTTGCTTATATTAAGATTTTGATTATCATTGTTTCTGATGAAAACATATTTAAAATGACAGTGATTTTAATCAAGAAGAATGGGCTCCTTTACTTCACTGAGATGCTTAAACCATGTCTTTGTGCTGAAGAACACATTTCAGCAAATAACCCTTCAGTGAACAGGCATATGTGTTCAGTGGCTTTTTTGGTTTGGTTTTTGTTTTTGAGGACATACTCCTAAGGTTTGCATAAGAATTTATGTTACCATGGGACCTTTAGAAATAAGAACATTGTTTGATTCTTAGAACTACTTCTAACTGGTAACAGTTCCTGAGGATGACTCTTAAAATACACAGCCATAGAGCATAGACGTTCCATCAAGAGCTTGGTCAGTACAGAACCAGCTGCTGTGCACAGGTGGAGTGTGTAGCAGCACAGAAGATGGAGATGCTGCAGTATTCCCAATGGCTGCGTCTGGCAGGTGCTCTAGAACTTGGGGTGATTGTTAAGAGAGGAGGTGTTTCCCCAGGGCCGCCAGTGTGTGGCGGAAGAGGCACTTGGTTTACCAGTTTAGACCCCTGTTTGGGGAATGGAAGCCATGGAACACCCAGAAAACTCATTCTTCTTGATGAGGTTTAATTTTAATTCAGTTGCAGGAAAATAACATTTTGTAACAGTGGATGAACTTATAAAACTGGACGCTGACAATAGATATTTTAACGTTATTTTCCAACTGCTGTCTTCCTGTCTCACAGCGTAGTTAACTTTTGGGAGCTGTAGGAACAGTTTTGTTCTTAGATCTGTCATGTGGGATGTTTGACATATGCATAATGACAGGTCAGAAGAAGCAGAGATTAAACATCTACGTTTTTATGATACGAAATGTGCTGCACTGGGAAACCGTGTGAGCAACAAAGACGTTTTGGCTGCCTGCTTTGCTCCTTTGCTTGTTTGAGTCAGATGCCGTTGGGTTTGGCTTTAACTGTGCCTTGCATAGTTTGCTTCTAGCGCAGTTCTTTGCTAAGATCTCTTACTCTGAATCCCATTATTTCCTCATACTGTTAACTCGACTCTGGTTTCCTGCTTCTCACCTCAGCTTATGCTTCTTGATTTCCGTGTTTCCTCCAGGTAACCCCTACTCTTACTTATCTTCTTACCAGCCTGCCGTCCAGTTACAGTTTTTCTAGTGTGCATTAATAGTTGCCCATCTCAGGATGCCTCCACCTCTTTGCTTTTAACATCCCCTCTCCTGTCCCTAGCCTGGTGGCTCAGTGGGAGAGAATCTACCTGCCAGTGCAAGAGATGTGGGTTCCATCCCCGGTTCAGGAAGATCCTCTAGAGAAGGAAATGGCAACCCACTCCAGTATTCTTGCCTGAGAATCCCATGGACAGAGGAGCCTGGTGGCTGCCGCCCGTGGGGTCACACAGAGTCGGACACGATGTAGCAGCTAAGCAAGAGCTCACATCTCTTCGGCCTGCTCTCTCTCTCTTTTGACCGCCAGGCTACCTTTCTTGGCTGTCTTTAGGAGAGTAGGGGTGTTTTTCTTTTCTTCTTTGAGAGTATTTGTGTTTATTCTATAGTACTATATGTTTAACTAGGTACTTTTTTTTTTTAACCTTATTGAAAATCACTGTAGAATAGTAGTTCTCAAAACTTCATGGTCCCAGGGCACCTTTACACTGCTAAAGATTGTTGTGGGCCAGTATTTATCTAATACTTACCATCTCAGAAGCTAAAACTGGGAAATTTAAACAATATTTATTTACTTACAAATAATAAAATTATTGTGTTAGCACAGGTGATTTTTTAAATTAAAATACTTAGTTTCCAAAACAAAAACCAAGTTTTGTAAGAAGAACATTGTTTTACATTTTGACAAATTGTATACAGTTAGCTTAGTAGAATCCTCTCATTCTCATATTTGCTTCTGCATTCGATCAGTTTTGCTATCATAACTCATGTAGCCTCTGGAAAACTTCATTGTCCATTGTGAGGCAATGAGAGTTAAAGAGGCAAATAACAATTTATTTAGCATTATTATGAAAGCACTTTTGACCTTGGGAAACTCCCTGAATGGGTTTCAAGGTCACCCAGCTTGGATCACACAGAACTGCTGCAAGAATTACGTTAACAGTGTAATGGACTTCCTTCTTGGTGTTCTGGACTTCTTAATCCTTTGCTTTTATAATGTCTGATAAATTTTAATTGTTTGAATGATTTTCTTATGTATATTAATGTTACATATTCTTCCAGTAGTTTCTGAATGAGATTGCTCTGCTTGTGTCCTTCATTGTCCTGTAGTGTTATTTCTGAAAAGTAAGCGAATATTTTAGTAGTTTTCATATTGTGCTAAGCCAGCAACTTTAGGAAAGCTGCAGTTAAAAAGCTAGTTTATGTTTAACTGAAATTGGCCTTATTGAGAGTCACTTATTAAAAACCATCAGTGAGTTTGGATTCTAGTGAAGGAAGTAATAGATCCTTGCTCTGATTCTTGTGGTCCCTGTGGTACTGTGTTATGTGTAGTCATAATCTCTGATAGTAACAAGTTTATATTGTTAAAGGGTAATGCCCTAACGTTTGGAATGCTAACCAATATGAATCAAAGCTTAGTTCAAGGCAACAGTAGGCACTCTAGGTAGAATGGAAAACAGGAACCCTGGGCATGGAAGTGAGATGGTCCAAGTCCTTCATTCAAGGAGAAGTCAAGTGTGGCACTTTCTCTTTACTTATTTAGTCAATTTGACTTTTAAAGGCATTGCAGACAGTAATGAGAATTTAAAATTTCAGTATAGATTTGGCATGTGTTTTATCAGCACAGAGGAAAGTTCCAGCACCTCTTTGTGTAATGAAGAGAATTGTATAAAATGACTTTAATGAATGATAAAATAGAATTATGTAGCATTTTCAGTTTCTATTTTTATGTTGCATGAGTTGTTCCTAGTTAATTTTAGTTCTCAGAATGCCATTGATCTTCTCCCTATGTTATTAAGATGACAGAAGCTAGGGCAATGCTGTTGAATCTTGGTTGTGGATGGAAGTCTTGGACCACCTCGCATACTCTTACAGTTTTAGAAGGTCATACTTGTCAGATTTGGGAGACTAGAACATACCTTCCATTTTTCTGTTTTTGGCTCGTAAGAGGCATTGTGCCCAGATTATAATATATACTTAGGCTATCTGTTGTAGTAAATGTGTTCTTTATGTTGTAGCATGAAAAAAGCTTGCCATTTTAATTGAAAGTAGATGTTTTCTTTGCAAAAATATGCTTTTCACATGGTTTGCTTTATTTTAATACAGAAGTAATATAAGTGTTCAAAACTAAGCAAAAGTGAAGGGGCTTCTGCTTCTTAGGGAATGAGGTGCATGTGAAAAGCAAAGCAGATTTTCTATCACGGTAATAAAAATAGACTTTTCTTAACTGGCCATTCACCGTATCAGCTATTTTTGTAACATTTTTGTCTGTTTATTTTTCAGCTTTTTTAATCCAACTCAAATGAACTAAAAACAGAAGATTTTTAAAAATGAAGTAATATAGAGATTGACCTTATCTCACTCTCCTCCCCTCCTTGCTTCTCTGCTCATCTAGCAGCTGTCTGCTCTCACCCTTCTCACGTTCTCGCCATTGCTGGGGCAAGATCTCTACAGCTTCTGTCATCTGGATCAACCCTCTTGTTACCTAGATTGCCTCAACCGTCTCTGTCTTCAAATCTCATTCTAGTCAATGTTTCTCAGTTGGCCTTTTATTTTGTTTCAGTTTTTATTCTGATCTTGCAACTAGGTGCTTTAGTTTCATTACCATACCAGATTGCTCACCCAACTTTTTTTTTTACTTTCTCTTGTCTCATTTAATTTTGTACTACATTTTGAGAAAGAATATTGCAGTTAAACTTATATTGTCATTAATATTTTTAGATTTAAATAGTTGGATAATGTTTCAATTCAATCTAAAGTTTTTATTTTTTAGGAACAATAGAATTTTGGAAATCAAATATGAGCAGTTTCACCAAGTTCTTTTATATTAGAGCTAGTGTAATATATTGATTAGGCTGAAATTGAGAGGTATAGGTTTTCTCATTGGAACTGTAGCCCTAGAATCTTTTTGCTGATTAATTGTGGGCTTGTCCTCTGCTTTGCCAACACAAGTGAGTTCAAGGCCAGTTGAAAGACTTATGGACTGAAAGTTAGGCTGGGTTAAAATATTAACGTAGAAGATCAATGGACTCTTTACTGAATAAATATCTTTTGACACCTAGTTTTGATGTACCAAAATTTTTGTTTGTCGGAGGTGTAATATAAAGACTTAAAAATGAATAAAAGAGCTTTACTGTTGGGATGAGAAGCTCCATACTGGAATGCTGAATTTCTTCTTTTTTCCAGAGAATACACATTGGCAAGTTGAGAGTTATCAGCCTGTGAAACAGTATGCAGATTCGTGTCTTCTATTGTATCACATCTGCTAAAATGTTAATTTTTAATATTAATTGTTTTTGTTTTCTTTTGCTTAATCTAATAGCTGTGTTTGTGTGTTCCAAGTGACACAGTGATCACCAGTGCTCTCCTGCTTATCTGCTTCAGTTCATTTGTGGTACAAATAGCACCCCCTCCCCGCTTTCTCAGGAAAGACACCCCCACCCCCGGCTCTCAGAATCTGAACTGCTTACTTTCATCCACGTGCTCTTTTATGAGACTGTCTTTGTATCTTTTTTGGCTTTTTGGACTTTGTAACACGTGGTTTCCTTGGATTAAAGAGGAGTTATTTTAAAGCAATAAAAGTATTTTTCCTCAAGATGGGGAAAACAGCATTTCTTGCAGTATGTGATTAGGAATTCAGTAGAATGGGTTTTTAATCATCTTTTCCCATGAATGACATTGACCCAGCCAAGTTCTGTTTTAGACCAGATTTGTACTAAAGATCTTTGTGAGTTTTGCTTGATTCAGACACTGCCTTTTGGACAAGAGTCAATTTAAAATATGAAAATTATATTTATAAATGTACATATAAATTGTTATATGTAAATATATGTCAGTGGCTTGCAAGTAGATTTCCTTAGAGACATTTCTACCATGAGAATACATTATTATGAACTTTAGGTTTAAAGTAAATTGTTTGATTAGAATGTAGTTTTAGAACCTTCCCATAGAGGCTTTGTTTTCTAGAACTGTTGTTAGAAATCAGATTTATTCCTTACAGTTTTATGCTGCCACATTGACAGCAACCTAGGACATTTTTTAAACCTTCCCATGGAAAATTTTTCTAATCATTGACTGAACCTAGATTTATTCTTTATATTTTAGTATATTTTAGTAACCAGGATTTTAAAAAAATAGAAACTAGGCAAATTAGTAATTTTTAGTCTGTTTTCATTGCATGTCTACATATTGATAGAAAAGTCTAGAAACCTGTCATCTTGGGCATGAAGACATAAGTTTAGCATACTCTTTTAATTCTACATTATTTTGTGATCAACATTTGATATCTAATTGCCTAAAAATAGTATGCCAAATATGTTTCACTTATGTAGCATCATCTTTTTATTAACTTCTCTAAACTGTCAACGTTGTTTTGAAAAGTTGCATTACTTATTCTTAAAACAGTGTGAAATAGCAAAAATAGCCTGCATGTATTTTAGTTTTAATTTCTAGAGGCTGGGAAGGGAGGGAGGGTCACAGTTTGCTTCAACAATGAAGATACACTGCATGCCAAAGAAATGCAAATATAAAAATTAATATAGGTTTTAAAAATGATAACATTAGTATTTTGAAAATAACTCATATTTCTAGATCAATAAGAGGTATATATAAAGTTATTTTTGTTCTTCCTAGGTAGTTGGCAAAAAAGGAGAAAGCCACTAAAGGTACAGAAGACACTGGAAGACCATATAGCGATCAGATCTGCAGGTCCTGGATAATTGCTTGATTCTCGCCAGAGACTTTCAGCATTTCGTTCATTGCCATTATCAGTAAATCATCGCTTTTGTCCCGACGGCATCACTAGTGTTTCTGTTGTAGCCTGAATACATGCAGTCGTAAATAAAGGAACTGCTTTTGCCAAGCTCAGTTGTTGTTCTAAATAAGTATTTCCTCTTTCCATTTATCTGAAAATTGGACACCTTCTGATTTTAGCAGAGACTTCAGTGTCTGATAGCGTATTGATCAGAAGCCTGTTTCTCTCTTTAGAGGAGCAGAACTGTTTTAGGATCTAAGGAGTGTGTGTGCGTTCATGTGCACACACAGCAAGTGATTTTGACAAGTGGACTTGGAAGAGCTAACTATGTTCAGACTCAGGTTTGTTAAATAGCAGTTGGGCATCTGGGCTATAGAAAACACCCAAATTATAAACCACCAGAAATAAGTAAGTTTAATGAGACTTAGCTGTTCCCACCTCAGACTGTTAGTGGTACCACAGATTTGATACCCTTTTGGATAAACTTAAAATTTGAGTCATCTTTATCAACATATGTTGAAAGGTATGCTGAAAATATATGTTGAATCCAACAGTAGGAAAAAATAAAGTACTGTGAATTCATGAAGCAGGAGGAATTGATATCTTTTAATGAAGTATTTATTACTTTAACTACCAAATGATGCAGTGTAAATATACAGAGAACTTGTTTAACGTTGAAAATGAATTGGCCACATGTGTATGTTTAAAAGGTCTTTCACAAAAGGCTGGCAAGACCATCTGTTCCGTATGACTTAAAAATCTTAAACTGTAATCTAGAAAGGATTAATAAATTTAATCTTAAAATTTTTCTATTTTTAAAGCTAAAATTTGATTTTTAAATTTCTCTTGAGTATTTTTAAAATGTCAGTGTTTGAAGAGTATATAAGACTTAATTTTGATTCAGTTAATAGTAAATTTGAGGGCCTGTTTGTCTAGGACTGTGATCAAGATACTGATTTGCCTTTGAGACACCAATGTATTTATACATGTTTCTGAAAAAAAAAAAAAAAATCGTGTCCAAGTTTTTGTGGTAATCACTTTCTGAAACCCTAGAGTCACTAAGTAATGTTTAGTTTTCTTTGTATGGAAGCACATTAGCTGGTCTGTGGTGATGTCTACATAGTTCATGTATTTCCTGATTATGTTGCCTTGGATCAAATGGAAACAGAAGGGCAAGAAGTAAAATAAATAAAAGTTTATAAAACACTCCTTAATAGAGACCATCTCAGATTAATCACATCTGGAATTAAGGGTGAGATTAATATCAGAAGTTTTGTTTTACATTTTGTACATTTAACAAAACCTCTTCGGGTAATTGTTAAAAGTGCCTCACCTTAAGTATTGCTGACCTCATCTTATTTATACTTTTCAATTTGAAAGTCCAGTGAAAATAACTTCATATTTGTAAAGGATTGGACATCAGATTTATATTGTTTATGTGAATTTTCTATTAGTTGATTGCATAATACAAACATTTCATAATTATTCAAATTGTAAACAGTGAGAAATGAATGTTTATAGGTAACTGTTAACATGTTTCACTACAGGAAGTTTTACAAATAAACATGCATAGTTGACATAATTTAAATTACCAATCTGAAATGCTGATGTTTCTCCTAAAACTGTGTGTATACACACACACATACATATATACATTTGTATATGTGACACTGAATTTTTCAAATGAATAAGAAGAGCATTTAAGAAATGTAACCCTAGTTATTGTAACTGAAACCATCCATAGCTAGTATTTCTTGAAAACAGACAATAGGTTTATTGTTTGTCAGACATAGCAAAAACCAAAACCACGAACAACTCACAAAACTTTTCTCTTGATTTCACTTACATTTTGCATCAGGATGCATTATCTGGTATAATGAAATATAGCCTATCTATAATAGAAACAAAAATATTTCAGTGCGGAGTCTTTGTCACCCTGAGGTCGAGGGCAGAAGTGCAGACAGGCTACCATACTCATGCCTGTGGCAGACATTTATGGTCCATTTTGACCAAATTTTCCCTGAGGCTTGCATTGTGTTCTAGAAACTACTTAATCTGTGAGTTGAAAACTGTCTGCTATGTCTCAAGGCTGGAGGGTGAATACTACATACTGAAGGAAAACTGAGGAATATTGTGTTCACTTAGATCTAACACTGATTTTTAGAAGTGGAAGTCTGTACTTTAGAAAGTTTGCCAAACACATTGTGTTTTGTAATATTCATATAGCGTGTTTGTTAGGTAAGTGATTTTAACGTACAAATATTTTACTCCTTCACTAAGTCTATTGCCTATGGCAGAATATTGATGTCATCTTAAGCATCTTTTCACTTCAGATTGTTTTTATATTGATTTTTTATTTTTTAAAATGTATTTTTAAAATTTTTATCGACATATAGTTGATCTATAATGTGTTAGTTTTAGGTGTATAACGGTATCAGTTATGCATGTATCCATTCTTTTTATTTTTTAGATTTCTTCTTAAAGTGGGCCGTTTTTTCAGTCTTGATTGAATTTTTTACAGTATTGCTTCCATTTTACATTTTGGTTTTTTGCCCCAGAGGCATGTGGGATCCTAGCTCCCTGCCAGAGATCGGGGATTGAAGCCACACCCTCTGCATTGGAAGGCCAAGTCTGGAACACCAGACTGCCCGAGAAGTCCCCTCTTTCAGATTCTTTTCACATACAGGCCATTACGGAGTATCGAGTTGCCTGTGCTGTGTAAGGGTCATTAGTTACCTGTTTGCAGCAGTGTGTATACGTCAAGCTCAGTCTCCCAACTTGACCCCTTTTCCCTTTAACCCCCGGTAAACGCGACATCTGTCTTCTGCATTGTTTTATTTTTAGATCAGTACTTTTAAAAAATATGCCCTACCTTGATAAGATTAAGTGGGCAGAGTGGTGACTTTACAGGTTAATAAGATTACTTTTAAATTGGTCCTTGCCAAATTAAGAATTGGAGAAGGTGGATTTAGGTCCATAGATCACTTTATTATTTGTATATTCTACTAAAATTGTACACAGCTTGGAATAATATTAAAATCCCTATTATTACCCTAAACCTGCCAGGGTATTTCTCTGAGGAAGTTTTATTTACAAATTTTATAAATTGAACAGGCCAGATTTATTTGTGAAGCATGATTTACTGCTTATACTGGGATGTGCATTTGAGATACTGACATTGTGCTTCTCGGGAGCAGGATCCTTGAAGTTTGACTCTCTGCCCCTCCTACTTGTAAGCTGTGTCATGTTGAGCAAGTAGTTTAGGAGCTTTAATTTCCTCTTTGAGTAAAAATGGGTCAAAGCACTACTTCTTAGGCTCGTTAGGAAGATGAAACGTGTGTCACTTCGATCTGGAACACGGATAAGGCGTAGTCTTCCCTACCCCGTACCTCCATCCTCGGTCTTTGCTAAGCAGGGTGCAGCAGCCTCCTTACTGTCTCCTTGCCTCTGACCTGGCGTCCACCACGTGTCCTCCACACGCCTGCTAGTCTGCCTGTGGATTTCTTCCCGTGGGCCCTCCCCAGCCTTCCCTATCCCCCGACGCCCACCCGCTTCCCCTTGGTGATGCACCTTACTAGCAGTTACCAGAATGTGCTCTGATAACTGATACCTGCCTCTGACCTAATTTGCTCCCCTGTCCAATTCCTGCTTATCTATAAGGGAAGAAGCTAGCGCTGGTGATGTATGCCTCCTCTGCTGGGTAGCACCTGTGGCCACGTCTTCCTGGTCCAGAGCAGGAAGTAGTTAATTATTAGTAGTCTTATTTACATGCTTATGAGCAGTAATGCAAGGACTTGTCCCTAGTGCCAAACTAAAGTTGCTTTGATCTCTGTCATCAATAACTGAACAAATTCTCAGTTTCCAAGAGGAGATGCTTGAGGTAAACCTGAGAGACTGTAGGAGTTTGCACTTTAGCAAGGTAAGGAAGGGAATTTAGCAGAAATAAGGAACTGTGGTGCTGGACAAAGTCCCTTGGACAGCCAGAAGATCAAACCAGTCAATCTTAAGGGAAATCAACCCTGAATACTCGTTGGAAGGACTGATGGTGAAGCTGAAGCTCCAGTATTTTGGTCACTTGATGCGAACAGCTGACTCATTGGAAAAGTCCCCGATGCTGGGAAAGATTGAGGGCAAAAGGAGAAGAGGGCATCAGAGGATGAGATGGCTGGATGGCATCACCAACGCAATGGACATGAACTTGGGCAAATTTGGGGAGATTGGTTGGGGACAAGGGGGCCTGCTGTGCTGCAGTCCATGGGGTCGCAAAGAGTCGGACACAACCGGGCAACTGAACAACAAGGAATAAACGCGTGCTGTGTACATAAAAGGACTGAGATGAGGGAGGAGATGAAGCTGGAAGCGCAAGAAGAAACCATAGCAGGAAGCTCCTCTTGTGAGAGACAGGCTGTCATTCGTTTATGGGAGGAGGGAAGAAGAGAGAGGAGTCCATAGTGCCTTGAACACATGTAGTAGGAAGACTGATTCTTAGGAAAGAGCAAGTTGGGGAGGGAAGAGAAATACAGCTTGGGGTACAACATTGCCTTGAGCAACAGATGCTTTTTTCTTGGATTTCATGTGGAAATGTCTATTAGGTACATTGAGTGTGTAACCGATCCCAGGTCCAGCTGCTCACCGCTCAACAGCTGATAAAGAGGCCAGGACACTGCAATGGAAAGTTTGTTTTGATGCCAGCAACCAGGGGTGGTGGGGGAATGCCTGTCCAAAGGCCAACTCCCCCGCCACTGACAATCAGTGGGCACGAGATTTTCTAGGCTGAAGGAGGGGGCTACAGGCCAAAACAGTACAGTCAGCTCTGACAGTCATCCTGAAGTTGGTCATTGGTGATCTGACTGGCATCACCTTGATTAAGTACAGTGAATCTTTCAGTTCCAGCGTCGGTTTGTTTCCA